ATGAAGGCGAAAGGGAAATCGATATCCCGAAGGTTGCAAGCTTTTACCCTTCCTCTAAGTGTTCAATGATTTCTAACCTGGTTTTAGTTCGAATCCTGAGGTTCACTCTGAAATTCAACTTTGCGACGTGGACGAATCTATGGATTCCGTTCGTTAGTAATACATCTCTTCTTGCACATGACATTGACATTGCTTGCGTGTCTTTGACAAAAACCGCTGTAAAGCAAATACCTATTACCGATCATAGCAGTAAACCTTCGCTTGTTTGTATTTCACATTGCCGTGTGAACGAATAGCGTGATCGTTGCTCTCGCACCTCAAAGGAAACGTTATGGTCGAATCATGGACAACGGTCGAGAGGGATAATTAGTAATTTTTGATCACCGTCGCACTACGGTTAGTAGAAGCGAGTTCAAACGGAAGTTTTGATATGCAACAACGGTGTTTGCGACTGAGAACCAGCTTTAGCTGAGAACTGCCATCAGCCTCAAATTAAATAAGCCGTCATCAACAGTGGGAAATGGTATCGAAACGAAGCCGATGCCTTAAAAACGAAGCAGCAACACAGATAATCCACAGGGCCATCTTTTTTATAAGCTCCATCATGTATACTAATGAGGCCGATACGATCCTGATCGGAAAAACATCTTCCAAGGAAAGGATGATGATCCTCTTGGATTCCGATTACGCTGAATCCGTTTAGCGAGGTGGTAAACAAATCACCATACCGTCATCCGGGTGAGGGTTATCAGAAAACATGACGCGGAATGTGGTCACAAGCTTTAACAGCAAGCACAGCCATTTGTTACGCTCATTAAACCACATCCCTCCCGTCAGTGCTTTTACGATGTGCATCCTCCTCTTCAAACGCCAGATGAGGCAAAGCTTCGGATCTGTCCTGTCCTTGTCCGTGACGATCTTGCCACCGTCGTTGAACATGTCATCAATTAAGCGAGAACTGCATTAGAATCTAACTGTGTCGTCCATTCACCGTGCCCCTGCGCTGATCGACAACGCCAACGCCAACACAAGGCATATAAAGCATAATCGCACCTGTCATATTCTAACAACGGGATTAAAGGATAGCCAGGCGACATGTGACGCCGGCAGAGCCGGTCAACATTTCGGAATTGCAGTTGTTTAAATCAAATTGCCACACCCTGGCATTAACGTGCTGCTGTCTGACAAGTGTTGACGACCGTCGCGGCGTGCGTGAGGAAAGGCTGTTGTGATGACCGACTGCGAATTAATCAGTGTTCCGGTTGGCGGTCGACCGAGGAGATACCTTCGTTTTCACGCAGTGGCTGAATGACTAGTGCCATCGTGTAAGTACGTGCACAAAATGGTTGCTGGTTCATTTATATAATAAATTTTTACTTTATTTTATCGCTGATACTTTGGTTGATTTTTAGTCAGCTACCGGGTGAGTAATTGTGACCGTAAAAGTGGCCCTGGTCGAACTGAACGGCTGTACATCTCTCACGTTCCTTCATGACAAGACCAGAACACTGGTAACGTCAACGACTTTGTGTCCGTTTCAGAGTCTGGGCCAGCTACACCGAAGCAATGTGGGGAATTGCCTCTAATAAGAAAAATGTCTCTTCGCCCATGGGATCGGAAGTATGAACATGGCGCCTGTAAAACGCACACAACTAAGCCGTGGCCCCACCTGCTTCGAAACATCTTCCTTCGCCGATGCTCTGCCCACCGTCTTACTGGCGTGAATCTGCCTGCACCGTAGGTCTGTGGAATACCAAGAAGAAGGTGGCTGTCGAAAAGACGGTAAAGAAAGGACGGTGATGAAAATCAGGTAAAAGCAGGAGAAGAAGCGAAATGAAATGAGAAGAAAATGGAAAAGGATAATGAGATGCTGCCTAAAGAGGAGAATAAGAGAAAAACAAGGCGAAAGAGGGGAAGAAGGGAAGGAAAACGAATCGGAAGGGGAAAGAGAGAGTGAGACAGAATTGAGTGAAAAAAGGGAAGGAGAAGAAGTGGAAATAGAAAAAGAATAAAAAATGCAACAGTCGGTTGTTCGACTAGACAAACTGGTTTTTTGCTATTAGGACAGTGCCATTTCCATAGAATTTATTACGTGATGTGTGCACAAAACTTCGTAAGAGATTGCGCCTGAAACGCGGGGTTTGGTTCCGTGTTTGTCTTAACCACACAGTGGCTTGAGCAACATGTTGGGTTGTTAGGTGGGTGGAGTCTCGAACTCGGAACCCACAGTGTCCCGGTGCCAGCACCGGTCGGGTCACTCGTCTTTTTTTCCTTCTGACGTCACTACCAAGGAAAGGAACAAAAGATTACGCATTGTGCTTGTCACATAACTGTTGTAGATGGTGCCTATGAAAATAGCACCACAATGGCTGATGAGCTGGAAATGGAGACCAGTGTCCAGCTTCGTGAAAAGGACGGCACCGGAATGACTCAATCATAAAAGTGTAAGCATGACCGACCTTACAACGGTTACAGACCACAGCTTTGGAAAGCTAGTGTTTGAAAGTTTTGTAATATGGCACTTTAGTACCCTAAGCAAGAAAGGAGTCATCAGTAACCAGCAATGACCTGGGTAATCACTTGAATAGTCGTTCTGAACGGCGATGTTAGTTCTAGCCTATAAAATTTTACATTCAGTAATATTTTTAGGTTAGGAAATTTATTACTGGTCAGTGTGAAAACATTTCCTCCAACTGCCGCAACTTCGACTTGCTGCATGAAGGCATGAACATGTGGCGAAACACAAAAATGCGCTGACGTGTTCATGTACCCCGGGTGCTCAGGTACCACGGAGCGGTTGTCCGTTTAAATAGTGTCCTAGGCTTCTGGAGGTAACCGTCTGTGCGACTTTGCCGCATAACCCGGTACTCCGTGAGGTAGATGAAGATTTCTCCGTATCGCTAGAATACGTAATCAATCAACCGCGGTTGTTGTTGTTGTCATCGATCTCACACATCAACAGCGGTCAAAGAAAGTGACACGACTAAGCGGCTGGAATGTCAGAATCGTCAGAGCAGTGGCTTCCCGTCCCAACGCTTGCCTTGTTTGACCGAAGTCTCCCACAGACCGTTTCCTGACATGCAACCGTTCACTCGGTGTCACCGGTGCGCCATGTCGGGTTTGACTCACCATCATCTCAAATTTTCAGGTGTATGTGTGCGGGCTCTTTACGAGTAAAGGTGCGTGATGAGCTGTACGGGCAGCCGTGTTCCACTGTTAGTATTTGTCATCGTTAGCTGACGGGAATCAGTGGTAATTTATTGGCTAAGTCAGCTCGTAAAACCTAGTTTATTGATTAGCTGTTTTGACAACTGTTGCGGCTATTACTGAGGCAAACGTGACTTCATTATCGAAGTTGTTCTACGTCTCTGTAGCTCCGAGTCATCTGTGTCATCGACCGTATGGTGTAATTTCTATTTGAGCATGTGCCAAGCGCCGATACAACCCCTGCCATACCGTGAACTTGCCATGGGTGGCGCGCGTTCGGCCTCCAAGTGAGGTACCACCTCAGAGGCATACATTTCAAGTGTTTTAAAGTGCGCTTTACCGCTGCTGTTAATGGGACACGTTGACGTAGCGTGCAATTAATTGATTTGTACGGACATCGGTCATTCGATGTTATTTACGGACGGCAAGCAGGGAGTGCATTTTGTCATTTGCCATTAATATATCCCGCAGCTGGTAAAAAATAAATTTGCATGACACCATTGGTTATTCCCGCTTCCCTCGCCGTTGGTCGATTCGGTTCCTGAAGTGTCTGCGTCTGTACGGTAATGGCGAACAGTACTTTTGGTTGAAGGCGGTCTTGGGTTTCATGGACTCTGTGATTCCTCTTTTTAACAAGTCAGGAAGACAGCTACGGCATTCGAAATTCTGGGCAACATTACAGTGCACTCGCGTCTCGAGAAAGTTACATCTTTGCTAAAGGTCTGCCCTCTTGAGAATCGAACCCTAAATTCTATGGGCAACCAACAGCACGGGTTTGAAATGGGTGCCAAACCATCACATGTGGCCATATTATTACAGTTTCGATTTAAGACAGATTTTACGTGCCCATTGGCATCTCAGATGTATCGCATCTAGAGAAATAAAGAAATTTAAATCGTTTAAATACCCCACAGCATCATAGTGCAAATAAATGCCAGTCCATTAGATCCAGAGGATAATTCACATGACACATTCCTCATGCTTCCTCTTCAAGGTGTACATGAACGTTTCCTTGGTGCCGTTCGGTTTCGTTCAAAGTACGTTTGGTTTAAACAACCGTACGTTATTGTCAGTCCTTGGTGCCTCTGACCCTTAGTCGACAGTTCACAGTTCACTGAAAATCACACATCCATTGCGAACAGCAGAAGTGAGTAGATGTGACCTCTATCACTTTGAATTGTGACACTTCCTCATCAGCCTTTGCCTCCTTTCTACAGGACGAACGACAGTGGGAATTTTAAATAGTATAATAGCGAATGCTTTTGAACTGAAAATTTTAAATCGTACTTCGTGAAACTTATTGAGCTACTGGTGTAATTTATTTTAGAAAAAATAGCAGCTCTGACTTGCACAGTCGCCTGAAGACGAGAAAAGTTTTGGGCGTCGGTGAACGACGAGAGGATGGGAACGTTTATCGTTCGAAGGTGACCGTGACTCCTTGCTGTGCGATTAAAATGCCTCTGACTTTGATCGTTGTTCGTATTGCAGGTAAGCCAAATTTTGGGCCATTCAGACTTCATCGACCAGAAACTTCCACGAGGATTCGGTCTTTCGATTGACCTGAACCTGATCTACTTTGTTGTGCTAGGGCTGCTGGTAAGAAAATCGTTTGAACTTTTTATGTGACGTTACTTATGTCCACGTCATCACCAGGGCAGAATGGCCGATATTATGAAAAATTTCGACTCAATGCTCTGATCGATCGTCCATAGCCGTGCTCTGCCTAAAAATCGTCTTTCAGCCCTTGTGAAAAGGCCGCACCGAACCCGGAGATCCATTGTTTATTATTTCCTTCAGCGACTTTACTTTCGTTGGTAGTCCAAAATTTCAGTTTGGATACAGCAGCTAGCCAATTAGTGTTCTTGAAAGAAAGACATAACATTTTCCTACCTCGCCAAAATTGTGACGCCAAACTCGATTTTACTTGACTTACAAATCGATCATGTAGAAATTTATGTCCTTCATTTCGTATTCCATTACCGTTTCGAGCGACGACGCAGCAGAGCCCTTACGAAGGCAACAACATGACCTTAAAGCGGTCATTATTTGGAAACTGATCGTCATGTACAACCAAGAAGAAACCATGTGCTCGTGAAATCCGATTTGCACTTTGCTGACTTAACGAGCCTTAAAGCAAAGTACATTGGAATAGTGTGTACTGATAACAGTTAAACTTGTGTAGCATCCCGTTATGCTGATCTGACCGCTTCTTCGGTATCGGAAAGATTTGTTGCCATACCGATTCTGTGAAAAGACGCTGTTACCGCCAGCAACAGCCTATTTCGATCCTCTGCTAAATCTTCATGACTTTGCCCTTCAGTTCTGTTGCCCGCGGTCTTCATTAATCTTCGCGGTCCGTCGAAATTCCTCACCTCATCCTGCCATCGATCTGGAGGTCTTCGTGCGGTCCGTTTATTCTCTGTTTGAACCCAGTCAGTCGCTTCGCTGCTCTAGCGATGGTAAATTGTTCGGTTGAGCAATATCATCACACACTTTCGAGGGTGATCTTACTCCTTCCGTCGTCTTTCTGTTGGAAGTGTGCACTCACTTTCCATGTTCCGTTTACAGTTTATGAATAGCCTTTAGCATTAGGATTATCGTTTGGAACTCATAAGTTAGCTGGACAAAAATTCTGCTTCAAGCACAATGGAATGTTCTACTGGAAGGAGAAACTCTGTGAACGACGAACAGAAATTTTGCTGTCATATAAGCAAGGAACTGATCCTTTATTTCCTTATCGGTTGAAGAAATCTATCCTTATCCGTATTCAGCGGAATTTCGCAGATTAATGGTCATCCCCCCCAAGACCATTTTGCAGGCAGAACGATTAACGTGAGTACTGAATGCCGGAAGTTGCTCGTAATCTCGAGAGCTCATTTGTTACTGTTAGCACAACAGCGCTGATTTTCTGGTCAAACGTTACCGTCACTGCTGATTGATGCATACGCTTTGTTTTGCTTAAGTAACGAAGCGATTTATTTCAATAGATACACACTGTTTCTAGTGTTCGTCACTGCCAAGAGACTGATGAGTCTCCAGGATTGGATACTTTTCTCGTGGTCGCAAGCCAGTTGGCCAATCAGACGTTACGAAATGAAGAGGATTCGTTCTTGGGCGTTCTCGGTCGGCCAACCAGTTGCTAGGTGCAAATGGTCCCTTCTTGGTCTATATCGTGGGCGAATCAGAGGCGTTGGAATTCTGACAAACGGGCAGAACTTGCGCTTCTGTGCTTACAATCAGCCCCACTCTCCTGAAGACCAAACGGTCGCCTTGACCTGAGATCAAAGCAGCTGCCACTGCTTTAACGGGATCAATACCGTTATGTACAGCATGACCAAACGATAACTTTTTACTAACTACAGTTTTTGGCACTTTCACGTCAGAGTGTTTACCGGGAAGATTTTTTATATATTTTCTTCTATGTGTCATATTCAATCGGTCGTGTTTATCTGCTCACATAAGCGATTTCCAATGCCTATACAACAGCGCCACATCGTTCATTATTACGACGAACGGGGGTATGGTATAAATCATAGGTCAAGTAGAAATTTTTGTGCTCTGTCACAGCTGGCGCTCCAGTGCTGTTTGCACAAGAACGCTGAAGGCAGCGACACAAACAGAAAGAAACGACCATTACTTTATGAAGCTGCGTTTTGTCCTTCACATGTGCGACCAGGAAGAAATCTCCTGATCAAGAAACCTAATCGACTGATCGTTTGCTGACTTATCCGCGCCATCAAAAAGGTTGCCCTGGTACGAAAGACATCACTTTTTTAAAATATGTCGGTGTGTATGTATTTTTATATGAAAGCAGCTGACCACGGTTTGGGAGAAAATTTTATGTCTGTCTGCCATAAATCGCGTAAATCTTCCAGACAAGATTTCACGGCGAATTGCATTGCCATCTTCCTACCGGAATTGCCTTTGGGTCCTAAGAATCGTGAAGTCTGATCTGGCATGTTTATGCGGTGGCAATAACTCTGTCATTGCTGAAAGCAAATCAGGATGACAAAGAAAGACGATTTCGAGCTTAAACTTAGTTATTGTGTTATCGAGCACAATACCAATTTAATCGTTGCCGAAGTTAACCAGGGCCACGCAGGATGTTGAGGGATTCAGGCAGATTGCGAAAAGTCGGCGATCCGAACTTGTTTCTCGCCTTCTAGAAGCCAGGGGCGTAGTGGCACTTCGACGACTGGCAAACGTCGACAAATCAAGTCGAAGATACCAGTCCGCAACTGAGCCGCTACCCGTTCTGAACTGAGGAGGCAGACATCTTGACGTCGTTATAGAACACTAGCTAAGGCTCCACAGGAATATCACGAGTAGGAGTTCATAAATAGAAATTGGAACATCTCACTCACAGGGAAAATGTAGGAGCTAATTGAAGAGGCCACATGGTACCTGCTGGAAATGGTTGCATTCTCGTCAACGAGGCTCCATGGCTATGAAATACTGAACAACTGGAAGAAACTAGAGGATGGAAGAAATTCAACTGATGTGTCGATTCCATCAGTCGCCGTAGGCTGGTGTTCTTTTGTTGGCATCTTTTGAAAATGATCACCAGCGCTCCCACCAAAGATTATCGGCCGAGTGGTAT